TCTTCATCTTCAATAAAGGGAGAAGGCAGTTCTACAGCGGAAGATCGCACAAGTCGAACAGGAAATAAAGGGAATGAAGATGGGTGGACCTTGAGTTCGTTGAGGTCGCGTTGGAATTGCTGAAGGATGAGGCGGAGATTTGGGAGGAACAGCAATTGGTGGAGGTGAGGGTGGGAGCAATTGCCGCGTTCCAGAATAGGTGCTAGAACGATTTGGCTCAGATTGGATTGTGGGACGATGATTTGGCTCGGAAAGGGTACTGGGACGATTTGCCCTTTGGCGAGAACGAACCCACATCGAGTAGGTGCTAGAGGTGTAATGGCTTGAGCCGAGGCTAGATGTCGGCTCCGAAGAACTTTCAGGGCCATTCAATGGTGAAGGAGGTACCAAGCGGAAGTGAGAATGAGCAGATGAGTATCTCCGTGAAATAAGTGGAGTTGCTTGAGTCGGAGGTGAATCAGGACCAGGCTCGAAGGAAGCAGGAGAAGGGAAGTCCTCATCTTCAGGCCCATCAGTAGGAAGTAGTTGAGTCACGTCAATAACGTCGTCGTCTTCTGTGACATCCGAGGCAAGCATTTCGAGCAGGGAAAGAGAACCACTGCATTGAATCTCCGCGTACGTTTCTTCCTCGCGAGCGTGCGCGTCGCGGCCTCGCCCACTCGGCAACTGTGCCTCGTCTCTGCGTGGGAGGTGACTTCCCTATCAGCTGTGAGGGGTTTTAACCCTACTAGCAACAATTAGGCATTAGGCAGTAGGGTAGAGATATGGACTTACACCGAAATATCGACCTGAAATTGGAGAAAGTCTCACTGTTCCAAGAGGGCTATAGCGATCACAACCTTGCTGGAACTGACCACTGAATCTACATAGGAGGAATCTATGTTCCCGGATTCCCCCATCCATCAAGGCAGGAAACGCCAAAAACACACGAGCGTTAAATCAAAATGGGTATCACAAAAGTTGCGCAAAGTTACGTCTGGTTGCATTGCCGCAAATGCCACACAACCTGTCTTCGATTGGACTGGAACTCTTATGAACCTCCAATTATTCACAGGGCACAGCGTTCGATGGGGATTCCCTATGGGGGAGGGGTCGTATGAGGCCGCCAAAGGGGGGTCGTATTTGGGCTGGGAAAAATTTATTTTTATAGTTGATTTTTCTCGCTTTGCGGACGTTTTGGAGGGGGGGGGGTCGTATTTGGTCGTTGTTGGGGAGGGAGGGGGTCGTAAAAGCTCGACCAAAATCCCCATCGAATGCTGTGCCCTGTACATTCAAAGTAGGCTATATTTTAATTATGGTTGTGACATTCACTAAGGAGCAGATTGATAGGATTGGGTGCAGTACTGAACGACACAAGGTTCTGAATTTCTCAAAATTTGTTGATAGCTCGTTTTGCAAAGTAATTTTGTTATTTTTTTCCAGCAAACCACTTAAAGCTCGATTCCGTGCCATTTTCATATGTTACGGAATAATTGCGTTGTGATGCTAGTCTGTAAAATGGATGCAAAATGCTCTGCCACGAGGGATCTGCCACTGCGCTCAAGCACGAACTGGCATATTGTCTTGGGGTCAAGATGCAAAATAAATACTGCACATACCAGCTACTAATTGATCTTCTTAAGGATGCCAAACAAGGTATTTGTTTCAAGTGGGTCTTCAAGTCTTAGTTTTTTTTATGGTACCCATTGGCAGAACCCATTGTTCGCCATGAGGCTGGAGAAGCTCTTGGTGCTATTGGCGACATATCAGCTCGAGAAGTTCTTGAGGAATATGTGAAGGTAACGGTGCTAATGTAATTGGGGGAGGGGAGCGAACACTGTCTCATCTGTGTGTCCCTTCCTCAAAATAAGGCTTGCTCAGAGCGCAGAACGTACCACAGTCGGCCAAGTAAATTTCATCACGCAACTAAGACGCTTATTTTGCATTGTGAGGTCTGGTAGTAAGCCTCGGCTTGGGAAAGGTCGCACAGACGAGGGAACACCAACTACGTTAGCATCAGTAACTCTTAACGCAGGTATACCAATGGTCTTACATTCCATCCTCGAGATGGAGGAGGCGTGACTGTGTACTGCATATTGCTAACCCACGTTTTCATGGGATGGTTTGCCGATGGAGAATTGCTGCTGATCTGCTTCATGGCTTTGGGCCGGAAACACGATGGCAGTTGCCAACTAGCAGCAGCATCCCACCAAAAGTGCGGCGGTCGTTACTTCTAATTAGAGTACGCAGCCCTCTCTTTCTTTGGGATATGGCTGAGATTGAGTTGTTGGGGGTTAGGAAAGACGTGTAATCTAACATGCTAAAGACGAAACCTTCTATAGCGGTGCCCACTTCTGTCTGCGGGGCCTTTTTTTACTCACTAGTTTTGCCTTCAGTTGCCAAATCGTGGCCCATTGCAGGATCCGTGCCAGGAAATAGCTCAAACTTGTGAACTGGCTCTTCGAAGGATTGAGTTAGTTAACACTAGTGGAGATAAAACCGAAAGCCCCTATCAAAGCATAGGTATGCCCTTAGGCAGTGTTCAGAGTTCGCGATGACGAGCGTCATCGCGACGTCTAAGCGCTGCTTTACATCTTCTTGTAGGACCTCTACAAGCAGTACAGTTCTAGATCCAACATCGACGGCTTCTACTGATAATGTGACTGAGCTTGGTGCTACTCTTGTGGATAAGTCTAAACCTCTATGGGATCGTTACAGCGCAATGTTTAAATTGAGGAATATCAACACAGATGCATCAATAAAAGCGCTTGCTCAAGGTTTCGTTGTTTTTATTCTGGTTCGCTGCTGGTGAAGGGGCATGTACGTCAAGATGGGCTGGCGCCTGACCCCATCTCTTTCAGTGGTTGTAGCAGGTACAAAAACTGGTAGAGAACTACTGAGGTCGAAGTGATTCAGTTCTTTTGCTCGCTCGCTTCAAGAACTGGTAGAAAATGGGCTTGGAGCCGCGCCAAACCCATCCCGCCTGACACGCCCCTTCATCCGCAGTGAACAAGACTGCTCTTTCATTGATTCCTCTTCGCTCGCTACTGCAGATTTTATATTTAGGACTCTACTGTGAAGACAGTGCACTGCTGCGGCATGAGGTTGCCTACGTGCTAGGTCAGGCACAGTCTCCAGTGGCGATCAAAGAATTGGAAGACCGGTTAACCCTTCTCTCAGAGGTGAGCATGCATTCTTACCCATTCCTTCTGAAACCCATATTCTAAACGTATCGGGTTGACAATCTCAACCCTCAGCGGACATGTTCTCGAAGTGCTGGACACTCACGGATTCCTCGGCGCTGTTCATCTTGGGAGGAACATTTGACACTTTGGCTAGTTTCTTTTTTCCAGTTCATGTTATAGTCTCATTTTAGCAGACGTTCCATTGCTCCCCCCTCTACTTCCTTTCAGCTCAGTAGCGCCGCTGCAACATGGTAGTTCTTCTTTTAGACGCTAATGTATTGAGGGGTGGGGTACTCCACAGCGCCCGAATGTCCCTTTTTCTAACCAAGGCCTAGCTTCAGAGCGCAGAGACTCTGCTATGCAAGGGCAGCCCGCGGCAAATCTGGTCGTCTGTACTCTGATGATTGAGAGAAAAATTGTTTGAGGGATAAATACTAATGCGAAGCTGGTGGTCCGTTTCGCTTCCTATCCACGAATCACTGTATATCGTCGGTTCCCCTAGGGCTCTGCAGTGGAAAAGGGGGGGGGGCAACGAATTCCATTTATTTGGGTAAACATGGTAATACTGTCTAGTATATTGCGATTAACGAAATGAGTAATGTAATAAATCTAAGCATGAGATATAAGAGAGAAAAATGAGCCTGAGTTTTGGTCAGAGTAAGGAAGAGCAGCTGTGCAATGCCCGCCCAAATGCGTTAACGCTTGCTTTGCGTCGAACTTTTCAACTCTTTTTAGCGCAAACTGACAGCATGGTTGTAA